CGGGGGCTACCGGCAGAACTGCGAGCGATGCCACAGGACTATAAGCAGCTCCTCCATCTTCTCCCGCAGTGCTCTGAGCATCTGCAATGGCAGTCCCAGGATTCCCTTCAGCAGCAGCCGCTTCTCCCTGGGCCGCCTGTACGGCTCACGACGCAGCTGCCTCTGGCAGAGCCGGAGCGGGAGCCTGAATGAGCAGAGCTGCCCCACGGAGCAGACTCGCCTCTCCAGCCAGGTGACTGTGGAGGAGGAAGACCCCCCTCCTTACCAGGATGCCCTCTACTTCCCTGTCCTCATCGTACACCGCAATGAAGGCTGCCTGAACCACGACCACCGTCACCTCCACCGCAACGGGTCCTGCGTGGAGACCTCACTGTGAAAGCAGAGGGCGGTGAGATCTCATTGTCCATTACCTGGCCTGAGCCAGTGCAGGATTTGGGGAGAGGAGCACAGGGAGAGAGCCTAGGAGAACATCAGGATGGAGTGAACATGGCATCTCGCTCCAACAGCCAGCAAAAGCTCCCCCTGCTGTGGCTCTGACCTCCCAGAGGGGTGGGTGCCGATGCTCCCCCTGACATGGCACGCAACTCCAGACCAACCACCACTTGCAAAAAAAGAAAAATAACATTCAATCAAACTGACCCCAAAACCATAATTCATGGCATCAAGATCCAAAGGGGAGAATAAAACGACAGGCCTGATGCAGGGAAGGGGTGGCTTTGGCTCCCAGCCCTGGCTCCAGGCTGGCTCGTGCTCCGAGGAACCAGCAGCCACCAGAAAGCACCCTGCTGCACCACTTCCCACCCTGCTTCCCACGCTGGAGTGAGACCCCTTGCAGGGTGGAGGGGAACGATCCCCTTGGGAGCGGCATGTAACTGCCTGTGCCTGAAGGTCTGGGGCATCCAGGCACGTGGAGCTGAGCAGCAGGTTAGAGTGAAGGCTGAAAGGCACAAATCCAGCTCTTCCCCTTCCCCCCTGACCATTCCCACCCTCGCCACATTTTTTTTTTAGACCATGCTCCGACTGTTACTCTGTTCTCACTGCTGGGAATGGCATTGCCTCCAGAAGATCCCAGGCTCAGCTCCTTAGGAAGCTTCAGTGCGCCAGCTCTGAGTCAGCATCCCCTAGGTAAAGGGTTTTCTGTTTGGGCAGGCAGCGCCGGGGAAGGGATGAGTGTGCAAACCCAGATGGAGCAGAGATCTGCAGCGCTACCGATGTGCTTGCTGGAGGAGGGCTCAGCTGGAAAGAGAAAACGAGAGGCCTCTGGTGAGCTCGGGAAGGGGAAGAGGATGGCACTGGGGCAGGCACCATGGTATCAGGTGGCACGTCAAGTGGCTGGGGACCCTTCCTGGCTTTGAAGTGACTCCTAATTGCTTCAGACAAGCATCGAGGAAGGCTCTGGTAGGTTCAGCTGCAGTTCACCTATTGATAATGGAGCAGCAGGTTGGTGCATGTCTGCACGAGTGAATTTTGCATGAGATCCAGCTGGGCTCTGCCTCCAGACTCTGAGCTGTGGACTCCTGGCAGCCTGGGTTTGGCAGAGAGCTCTGAGGGGTTGGGAGGGAGAAATGCAAAAGCATGCTGCAGCATTGGGAACCTGGGCTGGGGAAGCGAGGGGCAAAGGGATTCCCTTTCTGTGGGTGCAGGACCCGTGCAGGAGGCATGTGCCATGAGGGATGCTCTGCAGAACAGAGGTCTGGGATACATTAGAGAGGAACCCACTTAAAACCAAGTGGTTTGCACTACAAAGGTTTTTGCAGGGAGGTGTCAGGCTGTGCAAAGTGAGGTGGCTTCTGTGTAGCCCATGAGCCCCTGTGTTTCTCTGCCTTGCTCTTGTCAGGGCAGGTTGCTCTGAGCTTTGTGCTACCCTTTCCGTCCTGTTGGAAAGGATGTCGGTGACATTGGGCAAGGAGCCCTTGTGTCACCGAAGCATGCATACACCCAGTTTTCCCTTCTCTGTCAACACATCCCCAGACCTCTTCTGTCCTTGTTCTCAGAAAAGCTGTCTCCTTTTCAGTCATCTCTTTGGGGGAGTGCATGCCAAATCAGCCAGTGATTTCTCCAGACAACACTGCTCCTCAGCCTCACTGCGTTTTCCTCATCAGCTGGGGCAAACAACAGTTAAGAGCAGCAGGTCTTGAGTGACAAGGGCAAGTCCATTAGCACCTGGGCATTGGAGCTTGGTGTCTGCCTTAGTATCTATCACGGAAGGGCAAGATGTAACAGCAAACAGTGAAGCATTGTATTTAGTCCAGCCTGTCTTCTTCCTGCCAGCTCGTACCGAAGCATCTGTTTCTCTTATCATGCTGCTGTAATGCTTCACCTCCCAGGTCCTGGGGAGGCTGCAAATGCACTCTTGCACCACATCAGTCCTCTTTGGAAAGTCATCTCTTGCCAGTGAGCCTGGAGTGGGGCTTGTAGGGCTTTGCTTGTCTTTTCCTTCCCCTAGAGCAACTGTTCTGTTATTCATGCCCTGCATATCCTGGTCAGTGTCTCTTGCTCTTCAAGTCAGCTTGTCCTCCTGGATCTCAAGTTCTAGACTCCAAACAACAAAGGTTTGAACAGAAAGTCCCTTAAAATCTCATTCTGTTATGAATCTGTCTTGTCATCTGCTCTTACTCTTACTGCCAGATCTAGATGTTGCCTTAAAGGAGAGGGTCCCTTGGAGGACAGAGGACCGTAAGGTCTCCAGTGTGGGCACATCCCTCTCAGTGTTTTGTTCTCATTATTGTGGGCACAGATTTAGACTGGATGAAAGCAGCCCTGGGATTTTCTTGCTTAGTAATGACATTTGGCTTGCTGTGCACTTGTGCTTCTCTCTCTAAGGGCCTAATGTAAGCCAAGGCCAATGTTGAGTGTCCTCGTGACTCTGGGGAGATAATGGTGTGTGCTTGTGTGTCCCAGTGAATTGAGACAGTGGAGCTGCAACGGGTCATTAGTGAGGAATGTGGTCTGCTTGTACTTCTTTCCATGTTCTCTTTGAAATCTCCTACACATTGCTTAAATTAGGCTGTGGTGGCTCATCTTTCTATCTCCAGCCTCCGAGGTGCCTTGGACAGATGGATTTATCTAGGATTTGGCAGGCCTTTTAGCTCCCTGGGGCAAAGACAGGCTTCAGAAAAGGGACACATTAACAGAGTCTCTATGCCCCTGTCCTTTAGCACCTGCAGCAGAGTTTCGGGCATCATGTCCTTGGCTTTCTATGGGGCTTTCCATGAGAATGCCATAACCTGTTCCTCTGGTCCCATTTTCACCTATGAAATCTTTTCCTGGAGGTGGTCTATCCAGGTAGACATGTGGATCTTCAAGGCATGGCTGCTGCTCTTATGGGCAGGATCCATATAGACTTTGCGCTGCTGAACATCTTCCCCATGTACGTGGTGCCAGTCACAGCCAGGTCCCCGATGTAGTCCCTGTGCCACTGTTTGTGGCTGTCCAGACCTACAGTACTCTGAGAATTCGGACCTTTCTAGTCACTGCTCCTTACTGCATGCCAGGATTTCTCAAAGATCTTCCTCATATTCTTGGCCCTGCTAACCCGTGCACCTGGTGGAGCTGTGCCCCTTGTCCATCCTACTCCATTCTCAGCAGGCTGGAGACATTCCTGCACTGCCTCAGGCTCAGGAAAGGGAGATGACACACCTGGATATGGTAGGGGAGCAGGACTGGGCTGGAGAGACAGGAGCTGCCTGGTGGCTTGTCAGAGATGTGGTGGAGCTGAAGAGGACGGACTGAAACTGGAGTTGTGCTCCCTCTCCTTCTCCCTGCCTGCAATGGCAGGGCAGCATGTTGAGCCAGGCAGACAAATTCAGAGCAGAAAACTGGGCTCTTCCTTCCCACTCCTGGCATGGGACACTGCCACCAAAAAGGGTGTATGGGTATCGGTTTCCTTCTAAGTGTTGGTGAGGGACCGTAGTGCCCTGGGCAAAGGGCAGCTGATAAAATTGTATGGCTTGGGTTACTAGCACAGATACCCAGAGACAGTCTGTCGCTGTTCTGGCGCACAGCCTCTCCGTGGTGGAGTGGTCCCATCTCCTCAGCACACAGCCATCCACACACCACAGCTCTGGGCTGAGCAGCAGTCAGGCGTCTGCTCTTCCTGCAGACTTGTGTCTGCTCTCTGCCATGTCTGTGTTGGTGATGACGATTCCTTTGGCAGCTCGTTCGATGGCCCAGTCTGCTCCTCTCATGGTAGCCTTCTCCCTTATATCTAACCTGAATTCTCCCTGCTGTATCTTAATCCCATTACTTCTCCTCCATTGACTGGCAAGTCTAATTGGCTCTGCTCCTTTCCCCCATGGCCTTCCCGACAAAAGCAGGCATTATCTCTGTAGCCTTCCCTTCACTAATCCCAGGGTCTTGATCTCACTTGCCAAACCTTGGCTTGTGTCGTGATGCAGAAGTTTTCCTTGTGTAGTGAGTGTGTCCCTCCTGCTCTGAGCCCAGCTTGGGCAAGAGGAGGGCCAAAGCTACAGGCAATGCCTTGGTCTGTCAGGGTGGCTGTGTCCTCATTTCTAGTGCAGAAGATCTCTTCAAAGTGAGCGAAGTATGCAGAGCTGCTGGCCCCTTACAGAAGGAAAGCAGGACAGCATGCATCACCCTCTGGGAAGTTGAGAGCTGGGTACTTGTCAGTATGATGGGGGCAATAACTAGAGGATCTCTGCAGTCAGATGTCTTTGGTTTTTTTCCATACATCATCCACCCATTGCGGCTTTCCACGGGCTGAGAGTCAGGCTCAGCATTGCACTTAGCTGCAGGCTTTCCTTTTTTTTTATGCTAGCAACTACTTTTCCTGACCCTTCATGGTGCTAATGCATCCCAGAAGAGTCCTTACCACAGCAAGGCTGGGAATAAGTTTGAACTAGTTGGTGTTTCCCATTGCTGTCAGTATATTTGTTAGGTACTTAGAAGCTCTCCAGCTTTCCTGAACTAGAGAAAGAGAGAGAATGAGCGCATGAGAAGCTCTGGATTAGCTGATCTTCAAGATACACCACTCACCTATCCATCTTTCAGCACACTGGAAGCTCCCCAAATGTGCCTAGCACTTTGCTTCTGCAGAACTAGCTAACGACACCAGCCAGTCTGGTGGTACTTCTTGAGCCCACTGCGTGTCATGTCCCACTCCACACCAAGGAGAGAGATTTCAGAGAGGGCTGTCGGGTTGAGCAGTTGTAGGGGCATTCATTAGGATGGGGAGAGGGAATCTCAGCTTATGGCCAAGGCCAGGCCTTCCAGAGTCACACACCAGACAAATATTAGGGCTGGGGAAGCTGCTGTTTATCTGTTGTCAAACAAGCACACCACTCTCCCTTTCTGCTCCCCATAAAACACGTTAGAGGCCCAGCTGGTCCCTGTGCTCTTTGCTTTCTCTCCACTCAAGAGGCTGTAGAGCTGTTTAATAACTGTTGAATGCCCATGGGGTGGGGACTGCAGGAAAAGCTTTATTAAGTGGAAGTTTAAGAAAGTTGGGTAGCATCCTGTGTCAGTAAAACAGTGCCTGCTGATTAGCTGGTGGGACAAACAGTGCCGTTTAAACTTCCTTCCAGCCTTTCCAACCACAGCTTCAGTGTTGCTGTCCAGTATCACCAGGGTGCTGCCTTACTTTTAGT